TGTGAACAGAAGCTCACCAGCCTTGTGTGAATAGTGTGCCTGATAGGCACAAGGGGATTAATGCACAGTGTGTAGCTAAGACAGCTCTGTCTTGCCCCAAATTGCTAATCATGCTGTCTTTAGATGAGGAACGCTAGTTTTGTGGTTAAATAAAAAAAAAATCTTGCTTCTTTTCCCAGCTGAAACACAGACTTGCCTTGTGTAAATAATTTCCCCTCTTTATGTGTTGGTTTCCTCTATCTGTAAAATGTAGATAAATATACTTGTGCTATGGGGTATGAAGAATCTGTGTAAGGTGAATGGAGCCCCTTTGGTGGACAGAGTTATTAAAAAAAAAAAAAAGGGAAAAAAAAAAATTATATTGTTCTTCTCATCCTTGCCATATTTTCAGTAGTTTTTGATCCAGTTTCTTGGCCAAGTGATGTAGCTAGAATTACCCTTCACAATTTGTTGGCTGTATTTGTTATATATCAAGTTTTATTTGTTAACTATGGCTATTTTGTGCAAATTCTTCATGCTGGCAATTAATTTTTTTGAATTGGTAGATCTTGGGCTCAGTACTCTCGTGTCAGAGACCTGGGCCACTTTGGGGGTAGAAGGTCCTTTTCCCCAATTGCAGCACACCCTATTTTGCAGAGTAGCAATGGACACTGCTTTTTTTTCTTTTTTTTCCCCCTTCTCTTTCCTTCTAGAAAAATGAATGTGGGGCTGGGATCCTACATGAAGTGGGAATTTGCTGTTGGAAAGACACTGGGGAATAAAATTTGATTATGTTGAAAATTAGCCCTTAGGCAGGGACCAGGCAGGTTGCAGGAGGCAACCTTTGGAAGTTGGGATATTCTTAGAAAAAGGGAAGAACACTGCTGCAGAAACAACAAATAGAGCATAAAGGTCTCCTTGGTGAAGAGGACCAGCACAAGTTAAGACCATCAGCATAGGATTTCAGCAGTGCATAGTCCTTGTATTTTGCCCTCAGAGAAAGTTCTGTGTTTTCTCAGCCACAATCTATATTTTTTAAGTTACATGCATTTAAAGGAATAGCTTCTGGTTTCACACATCACTGCCCCATTCTTTTTCCTTGGCAGAAAGCCAGCAATACAGTCTTTGAGATATTAGAGAAGAGTTGGGGACTTGGGAGAAAGAATTGGTAACAAAATTTGGCAGCTTGCTTCACTGGCCAGGTCTGGCATATGCACCATTTTGACTGATTTCTACATTGGTGCTAGGCATATCTTACCCGTTTTGCGGTGTAAAGACAGTGGTACAGTCAAGACTTCTTATCAAAGTTCTGCCATTGATTCTACATGACCAGGCACTTAATTGCCCTGTGCCTCAATTTACACATCTCTAGAACCAGACTTATCCATGCTGCTATGAAAGTCATGAAACTGAATTATGAATGTTCACAAAATACAGTGAGATTTGGTCAATGCAGTGTTGCCATGTTGTGTGCTTTCATAAAGGCCTGGTAGCAAGGTTATCTGGGGAGACTGTTGCTGTACTATACCAATATGTGGATTCCCTTTTTTCTGTTTTAATGGTGTTTGGTCCTCCATCCACCAGCACAGTTTCTACCAAGTTACCAGTGTTGAAAAGAAGTAAGCAAAATCTTACAATAAGTCATGTCATTCACATATATATATGTGTGTATATGTATGCCTGTTTGCACCAGCATCATTTGTATATGTATTTGATGTATACATGAGCGTACAAATCTCACTTTTTATAGGGCTCAAATAATTTGACAATAGATTACTTTAAAATACCCTGCCCCGCCCCTCAAAAATGAAAAATCCCTCAGATAATTTAGGCACAAAGTAGAGGAGGGTTATAGTTTCATAGTTGGTAGGGTTGGAAGGGACCTGAGCGGATCATCAAGTCCGACCCCCTGCTGTGGCAGGAAAGAGTACTGGGGTCAAATGACCCCGGCCAGGTGTTCATCCAGCCTCCTTTTAAATATCCCCAGGGTAGGAGCCAGCACCACTTCTTTTGGAAGTTGGTTCTAGATCATAGCTGCCCTGACAGTGAAGTAGCGCCTCCTGATATCTAGCCTGAATCTACTGTCTGCCAGCTTGTGACGTTTATTTCTTGTCACTCCTGGAAGCGCTCGGGGGGAACAGGAACTCCCCCAATGCCTGCTGGTCCCCCCTGACTAGTTCATAAATGGCCACTAGATCCCCCCTCAGCCTTCTCTTGTGGAGGCTGAACAGTTTCAGGTCTCATAGCCTCTCCTCGTAGGGCCTGCCCTGCTGCCCCCTGATCATGCGAGTGGCCCTCCTCTGGACTCTCTCCATGCTGTCCACATCCCTCTTGAAGTGCGGCACCCAGAACTAGACACAGTACTCCAACTGTGGCCTAACCAGTGTCACACAGAGGGGGAGGATCACCTCCTTGGACCTGCTTGAGATGCATGTGTGGATGCATGACAAGGTATGGTTGGCCTTCCTGACCGCATCCCCACACTGTCGGCCCATGTTAATTTTGGCATCAATAATGACTCCAAGATCCTTTTCTGCCTCTGCACTGATGAGAAGGGAGTTCCCCAGTGTGTAGGTCTGCTGCTGGTTCTTCCCCTCCCAGGTGCAGTACCCTGCACTGGTCAGTGTTGAAACCTGTCCTGTTCCCATCCACCCACCCCTGTAACCTGTCTAGGTCCGATTGTAGCCTATTCCTCCCTTCTAGCATGCCCACTTCTCCCCATATCTTAGTGTCACCTGCAAATTTGAACAGGGTGCATTTTACCCCTTTGTCCAAGTCGCTGATGAAGATGTTGAACAGTGCAGGCCTGAGGACCAAGCCCTGCAGAACCCCACTGCCCACATCCCTCCAGGTCGAATAAGACCCGTCCACCACCACTCTCTGGGTGCGGCCCTCCAGCCAGTTAGTGACCCATTTGACTGTGTAGGTGTTGACACCACAGTCTCCTAGTTTTTTAATGAGAATGGGGTGAGAGACCGTGTCGAAGTTCTTCCTAAAGTCCGGAAAGACTATATCCACCGTGACACCTGTATCCAGGGGTTTGATGACCTGGTCATAGAAGGCCACCAGGTTGGTCTGACAGGACCTGCCTCTAATGAACCCATGCTGGTTGCCCCTAAGCATAGTCTCCCCTGCTGGCCCCTCGTGGACATGTGCCAGGATAATTTTCTCAAAAAGCTTCCCTAAGACCAAGCTAAGTCTAATGGGCCTATAGTTTCCTGGATCCTCCTTCCTCCCTTTTTTTGAAAATGGGAACCACATTGGCCCTTTTCCAGTCCTCCAGCACATTGCCAGAGCACCATGAGTGCTCGTAAAGCCGTGCCAGAGGTCCCGCAATAACCTCTGCTAATTCCCTCAGCACTCTGGGGTGGAGATAGTCAGGACCTGCTGATTTAAATACGTCCAGTCCCTCCAGATGTTCCCTGACTAGGTCCTTGCTGACCCTAGGCCTGGATGTGCCTCCCACGGGGCCTACGGGTGTCCCAGTGGGGGGATGACCAGGTCCCTACTCAGAAAAATGGAGGCAAAGAAATTGTTAAATAGGTTAGCTTTGCTGTCTGGTGCAATGACCAGATTTCCTAGCGTGTCCTCCAGAGGCCCCACATTACCCGGTACCTTCTTTTTACCCCGTATGTATTTAAAAAAGGACTTCTTGTTGTCCTTGATCAGGGTAGCTAGTCCCAGTTCCATCTCCGCCTTGGGCTTACTGACCGCCCCCCTACAGCCCCGAGCAACAGAGGTATATTCCTCTCTGGTGATGGCCCCTCCCTTCCAATGGGTGTACGCCTCCTTTTTAGCTTTATATATAATAGTAATGACTGGGACAGATCCATACATTGATGACAGGCCTAACATCAAGTGTCAGTTTTGTATAGCTAAAACTCTGGCTGTTCATAATTGGGAGGTGGATTCAGCTCTGAAGTTTATAGCTTGGGTCTTTATCAGTATTCTGCTAGCAAAGGGGGTAATTTTGTGAATGAGTAAATTTTGAAAGTTTTATTGGATTTTTTTGACAAAATAATTTTTCTCAAATTATGCGTCTTTGTACTTTCTTCTGTGGGGAAAAAAAACAGTTTTATTATCTTGAACCCAAATGCTGATAATTTATCACAAAATGGTAATTTTTTATTTTGGGGTGTTCTCTTTTTTCTTGTTGTTAGAATGTTGATATATGGTAAGAAGAAGAACCATAGGTTTTAAGTGTTTCCATAATATTTAAGCTCATACTAACGACCTAACCCCTGAAATTTTAATATCATTCCAACTGTATCTTGAAAAATACATATATATTTATTTTGCAATTATTCTAATTTTATTTTGCATCTATTCAAGCACTCTGACAATCTACAGCCACCATTTCTTAATCTGCTGTTTTGCCCAGCAAAATAGCATTTATTTTTCGTAGTAAATTCACATCAGTTCTTTTATATCTCTTAGCAAAATTATCCAAGAGCTCTGCATCAGGTATACCTTGGGAAACAGAAGATTTCCTCTTTTTAAACTTGCTTTTCTATCTTTTCCTTTCAGTGCAACAGTCGGAAAGTGGTACATGCTGTATAACTGATTAAAAAAAAATTGGCTGGCATCATGTAAAACCATGTTTCCTCTTTTGGTTTGAACATTCTGGTCTTAACAATGTCCTCATTTTGATGAAATTAACTGGGGTTTTTTCTACAGTCATTTGTATGTTGCGTTGTCTTTCTGTCTTTTTTTAATTGTTATGCCTAATTTATTTTTATAAGGTGGATTGTTGGAATTGAGGGGTAGGAGGTTTCTTTCTATATTATTCTGTGATCCTTTAATTCAGAGGTATATTTTGTTATTTTGAATTGCCTTTTTTTCTCCCTCTTTCTTCACTGCATACTACTCTGGGAAGAGCTCCTTTTAACAAAAAAAAAAAAAAGCCACGCTTGACTGATAATGCATTGCTTTGGATGGTGAAACATTATGAAAGTTTAATTTTTAATTAAATCTGAAATACCAATTATAACTGAAAGAGATTTTAACCTGTTTCTTTTCAGACTGCCTGAAGTTACATTTTAGATGCTGAAATCACTGCACCTTAAAAACAAAAAGATTAAGCTGCACTGCATTCCTGTAAGTAAAACCTTTTCTGGTACCTTTTGTCAGTGTTTCTCTGAATACTGCACACACAACAAAAGTGTTAGCACAATAACTGGACTTGGATAAAGGTCAGAGTGCCCTTGGGTGGAATTTCCAAATTTAAATGACTTTTTATTAACCACCCATTCCCCTCCCTGCCATCCCGAAATAAAAATGGTAAGTTTTACTAGACCTTTACCATCATCCCTCCAGATTGCTAATTCTTTCTGCTTTTTGTTTTGAATTTTATTAGGGATGGTGTGTGGCTTTGTCTCCATTAACATACATTTCCTGTCATCCTGTCACTGAGAATGCCTATACTTTAATGCAGAGATAATAGAAAGTAGCAAAAGATTCTCAATGGCATCAACTATAGAGTATGTTCTGCTCTATGATGTCATGAGAAATTTTTCTTCTTTGTTGTAAGAAAAAATAAGAAGAGAAAGTTTCTGTTGACATCCACAACTGGATTCAAGTGCCTTAAGACATTGGTTGGGGTCAGAAGTATATAATTACTCTGTGGGTATGTGCATGTGTGCACATGTGTACATACATATATGTGCATGTGTTCTCTACCGTGTCAGCAAATTGTTGAAATAATA